CTCCCGATTGACTGGATGGGGTCTGACTTATCAGGGAGGAGGGGCTAACAGGGGACAGGATAGGGAGAGCGACAGTGCACTGGTTTCAGGGGAGGGGGGGGGGGGGGGGGGGGGGGGGGGGGGGGGGGGGGGGGGGGGGGGGGGGGGGGGGGGGGGGGGGGGGGGGGGGGATCAGGACAAAGTTCTGTTCTTGGTGGGGGACACTGAAATGAGATTGAGGAAGTCGCTCCCATGTCGGTTCCTCCGCCACCCACCTATGCCAGAGCAAGTTATCTTGATCATCCAGTGTGGCCAGCTTCCTGTTTTTGTCCAGCCATATGGACTGAAACATATCTTTATGCTGTTGCCTCTCATTGTGGTCTTTCGCATCTGTGAGGTCCTTTTTAAGTTGCTTCCAGGCTGCTTGAGTATGGTTGGTGATTGTTGCAATCGCCACCTCCCTCGCTGTAGATAGCCGAAGAAGAACAACGCATTCTCCAGGCCAGCATCAGCAGCGTAAGTCTCATGTACGAGACTGAGGCGTATGTTCGCCTAGTAGGATGAGAGAAGGGCTCCAGGGAAGATGTTGGCCTATCAGGTGATGCCGTGGCGAATCTGATTTCTCATCACAGCGTATGTGTCTGGCTTTCCCAAGAGGCACGGAGTGTTGACTGAATCAAAGCTGGGGTCAGGGCTGTTGATAAAATTCATCACAGGGTCCTTTGGGACATCCGTTAAAATTGGAACGATACAGAGAAGATTAGCATGGCCCCTGCGCAAGGATGACAAAAAAAAAAAAAAAAAAAAAAAATCATCACAGGCGGCTCCGGCTCCCGAAAGCCCCAGCGCGCGTCGTGTCAGACAAAAGAAAGATTGCCTGGAAACGTACTGGCGGTTTACTGATTGAGTTTGACTGATTTACCCATGAGCAAGCCGAGATCCACAGTGTGCCTCATTGCGGTGAAACTCCCGTCTTCCCCCGAAACACAACAGATCCTCATCATGCCTGTATCAGCCTGGAAAAAGGATAGCTAGTATACACTCATAATCAGGGTAAAATCAGTCCGGAAGTGAACCCTTAGCACGTTCCGCAGCCATTTTTCTCTAATGCGGCATGCATGCGGCCGCAAGTTTCGGGAGTCAGCCTACCACAGCAAAATGGCTGGCGGCAGCCAAAAGAAGAGCCACGCAGGTTCGTTTTGCTTTTAGCTCGCACAGCCTCGCAGCGAGTTTCGAGGCTCGGCAAGGGAAGGATCAAAAGTACTGGTGGTTTAAACCATCCGTACCTCGCCTAGCTATTGATTCCGGGCCTGAAATCGCCCTGTGCGCCATAAATCGCCAAGCCTAGGGGGCGAAGTGTCGTTTCGATTTTTTGGAGTACTGCGGGTGGTACTTTCCAAGTGTGGCACTTTGGCCTTTTCCACAGTGACTGTCCATCACATCAGAAAAAAAAACGGTCCGACCATACTAGTTAGAGTTTGGGCCTTATCATCACCCTCGGTCACAGATGGAGTTGTGTTAAAAGGGATTCTCCCGGTGAAGACTAACAAGGCCAGGCCATCTGATTTTGGGCAGCTGCGCATGTGGGGCCCACCCGGCCAGGGCCAGAATATCTGCTTCCCCTTGGTGTAGATGGTGCTGTGAAGAACTGTCAAATGTGTTGTAGAGCAAATCAGTCAGTTGGTTGTGAGTGGCTGGATGCAGCAATCAAATCTGTTAGGACTCGCGCAATAAGAGAGGGCAAAAGAAAAGCGGACAGCAGTAAGGAGATCAAGATAAATGTGAGAGGGGAAAGCTGATGAAATTACCCAAGTGGAGGACATGAATATCGCAGGGTGAACAGTTGGGATTCAAGAATATGTCCAGGAGGGGGGGGGACGAGGAGAAGCGTCCGTTGAATTGCGCAGAGCGCAATAGAGAAGAAAAGAAAAGAAAAAGAAAAGAAAAAGAAAAAGAAAAGAAAAGAAAAAGAAAAGGAAAGAAAAGAAGAGTTCAAGGGTTTCCCCTTGCAGTCAAACTACTCCGAGCGAATCAGTCACGAAGGAAACCCCGAAACGCGCCAACCATGGGCACTAAGTGGAATTTAGGGCCTCGTCTTACATAACGCAGGCTATCTAATGAGGCCTTTTTTTTTTTTTTTTTTGTTTCTTTGTTTTAGGAGGGGGGAGGAGGGGGGGGAACTGGGCTACCAGACCCGCACGAGCCCGGCCGCCCGGCCGGGCAGCCAGGCCAGTGCAACTAGGACCCTCTTGCCCAGGTCACCAGGGCGAGTAAGAAAAACAGTCAAAATTTTTTATTCCCCCCCCCCCCCTGTTGATGGGGCATTTTTGCGCCCTCCACGAGGGACCCAAATCCGGTCTTATATATGTTTTTGGTTTATGTCCGTTTTGGAAGAGAGGGGGGGAGATTAAGGGTCTTAAAGGGGCTTGAAAGGGCTTGAAAGGCCTTTAAACTTCAAAGGGTGTGAGATGATTTTCCTTACATTATTTTTTTTATTTTAAATTCTTTGAAGAATTTGGAAGTGACCCTCAGCTAATAGTTGTTTGGTTTGCTATTCTGCACAACGTACTTTTTTTTTTTTTTTTGGTGGGGTATGGGTCGGGACCCCGCTTGGCCCAGTTTCCTGCCCGGTCGTCCCCGGCAGGTCCCGCGCCAGCTTTGGGGACCCGGGCGGCCTGGCTGGTAGCCCAGGGGGTGAACAAGTTCCATTCTCTTTGCGGGGAGCATCACATGCTGGGAGGCGAAGCGAGCGTCCCATCTCAGACTATCAAGTGGGGCCTAAACTTGCAAATTGATAGCCAATCTGCTGTATGTACATTTTTGGCCAGTTTCATTGCAACTTTCCTAAGAGCCCAACTTGATAGCCTATGTTCTGTAAGGTGAGTTGGCATGAATCTGGCACACCACACCATGTACATATAGCAGGGCCATTAAAATTTAAAAGAATACTAACACCTGAGGAGGACACAACAGTTTGTGGACCAGGCCCCCTGAATCTCTGGTAGAATATCTGGGAATGTGAGTACTCCCATACTATTAGCAATTTAGCAGCAGAGAAACAGGAATCTATGATCAGCAATGCCACTTTCACCAGCAGGTCTGGTACACTTTTTTTTTTTTTTTTTTCCTTTTTTTTTTTTTCCTTTTGTAACAACGCCTAGTAATGGCATTTATGCAGTTGAAGCAAAGCTCCAATGGTGTAAGGCAGAAAGGTCTGTATGTGGTCAGCTTCTATAAAACTTGTAGGTACCTGGCCAGTCATTGAGTTTCATTTTTTTTGCCTCGCCTTGATTTTCGCGTGACGCTCAGTTATATCAGCACGTCAGCACGTCAGGTCACCTGGTAGCCCACGTGGCTGCCAGCATCAGTATACAAGCAAGCTTTGGTATGAGCACACTTCATGATTGCCAACAGGTACGAGCACACTCCATGACAAACACTAAGGTGGGAAAAAGGGGGAATTGGGAGGGAGGAAGTGGGTGGTGGAGCCGGATGCGGGTGCGGTCGCGTGGGGTGGGGTGGGGTGGGGGGCAGTGGGGGGCATGCTGACCTTTTGCTACCGAAGTCTACAGGTGCTTGAGTTTTGGTTCAAACATGAAGGAAAAGTTTGGCGCCCACCGACGGGCCTATCTCAGTCGGTAAACCCATGAACTGTTGAAATATAAACCGGAGTTCGAATCCAGATGAGTGACATTCAACAAATCTGAATTACCTGGGCCAGGAATTTCGATAATGGTATCTCAAGGCTGTCGCCCTTTTTTATCTTGAAAAAAAAAAAAAGGTTTGGCACCCTTCCTCTTCCCTCCCGCCCCCCTCTTCCTGAACGATCACAAAACCATAAAGATCAGGTCTATTGGTGAGGAGCAACAATAGACCTGTGGTTGGGTATGAGTGACTGGGTACACCGGGTCACCGAGAAATCCGTGCTGGGGTGGGGTTAAGTGCTCATCTTGGGGCTTAAACCACCAGTACACCCGAGCCTAAATGTACGAGCCTAAATTTGAATTTTGCCGAGCCTGCAAGCGGTGGATACAACCACTGGGAAAATTCAGGGCAGTACCCGTGCCACCTTCTGTGTTGCTGAACCAACTGCCAACAGATGGAACAAAAAGGAGGCTGTGGATTTCTCGTTTTCACTCATACCCCACCCCAGGCTGACTGTAATTGCGGTCAGATACATACAGGAAAGTGGTAGTGTGAGCACTGAATGGATTCCTCCTCGCCTCTCACCGCAAGGAGGGGGGCTCTCAGACAGGGGGTCTTCTTCATAAAAGGAAAAAAATAAAACTTCTTCTACTAAGCTCTGGATGTGATTGTGGCCATATTCATCCAGGTGTTGGTGTCTGTGCAGTCAGATACATTCTCCAAGTGCTAGCAGCTCTTGTCTCTGTGACAGTTTTTTTTTTTTTTTTTTTTTTTTCGTCCGCACTTTTGCCATTTTCCTCTTTTCAAAAGTAATCTATATTCTTCTCGCAATCTTTTGCTTGCATATAGGGTCTCGTTAGACACTCCTAAAAGAATCCTAAAATTTTTAGGACGAGTCCTAAAGGTTTTTTAGGATTTCGTGCGGCATCGTTACACGCAGTCCTAAAAATCATCTTTTAGGATTCGTCCTAAAAGGTCTCCCGCGGCCCGTTCTCATATTCGTATACGCAGCCGCGTCGCCGATGTCCGCCGGGTCCTGGCTGATGTCCGTGGTACACACTGCGGAGGCCTTGGGCGGGTGAGGAGGGGTGGGTGAAAAGCGCAGTCACCCCGAACTTCAAAAATTCAAATTCAAATTCTCGCGGACGCAAGGCGGCAGGGGCAGAGGACGGCCAGGCGACGCATGTGACGTACAAAAGACGGCGCTGGCGAACCATTCGGCGCGGGTATCCATCTCCCGACTCCACGCAAGTTGTGACCAGCGGGGGCAACTTCCGGCAAGGCGCATCTTCACCTCCGCCGTGTGTGCTGTCCTGTGCAAGCGTAGAGCAGCGGGCGCGTCGTCGACTCCGGCGTACGCCATCTCCTGTTGCAGCGTACGGCAGCAGGCGCATCTACGGGTCCGGCGTGCGTGGTCTCTCTTCGCTTGGTTCAGCAGCGGGCGTGTCTTCAGCGGCTGTGGCAGGCGTCACGCTGTGGGGGCAGAACGATTCCCAGAGATGGACGTTCGCGGCAGCGGGCATGGTCTGCGCGAAGAGGAGATCGACGCGGTGGCGATGGCGGTTACTGTCGTCGTCGTGAACACAATGGGCGGCATGTCGTCGTCCTCAAGCGACATGCTGACGCAACTCCGAAAACGAAGAGCGCTGTTGCAGCGCATTGCCGAAGCGCCGGATTGTGTGGCCACGTGTGAGGCAGTCGTCCAGTTGTGTGCCGCACTGTCATCTGGCGTTTTCCCGCGGCAGACCCCGTGTTGGTGGATTAAATGGCGGACTGGCGGAACATGGGAGGATCTCCGCCTCTGTGATGACGCGACGGACGAGTACTACCGGAAGAAGTTGCGCATGTCGATGGCCATGTTCAGGCAGATCGTAGCCGCGTGCGCCCCGTACGTGGAGAAGAAGGTGACACACTATAGGATGCCATTGCCAGTGGAGCAGGTGATTGCTTTCGCGTTGTACAGGTGGGCGTCAGGAGAGACGTACGAGAGCGGCACGTCAGCCTTCGGCATCGGCAGGGCAACTGGACTGCAGGCCGTCCGCGACGTCACTTCGGCGCTGCTGCAGGCGTACCCCAACGCGATCAAGTGGCCAGTTGGGCGTAGACGTGCGCATATTCTGTGCGCATTCCGTGACAAGGGTTTCCCGAACTGCTTCGGCGCGATCGAATGTACACACATCCACATTGACAAGCCCGCCGGCGCACCTTCGGACAACTACTACGACCGCAAACAGAAGTTCTCCGTGCAAGCCACGCTTCGCCCCGCGCGCTCCACCCCACCGGCCAACGGTTACCGCTGGGGGCCGTTGCGGTCGTCGACCTGCAGAAAACCTCCGATGTCCCCCCACAGACCCGACGGACCTCTCCTGGACCAGCGCCTCCGTGTCGACGGTGCCATTCTCGCGACGCGGCGACTCCGTGAAACGCGGGAATCCTAAATTTTTCAGTAGGTCCGGGGCTACTGGAAAATTTAGGACGATTTGGTTGGGGAATCCTAAATCTTTTAGGACGAGTCCTAACGCCATTTTCACATTTTCGATTCCCGCGTCCGATTTAGGATTGCGTGCAACCAAGACGAAATCCTAGAAACAGGAACTTTTAGGAGTGTCTAACGAGACCCATATTGGGTCTCGCTGCACTACTCTACTTCGCGAAAATTCGGAGAGTTATGCATCGCTGCACTAACTCTACTTTAGAACCCCAAAAGAAATTTGGAGAGCTGTCAGAAACCACAAAAGAATTGTACTCTCCGACACCGGAGAGTGCCCAGCCTGCAAAATCCGTTACGCAGATAGACCTTCGATTTGCTCCAAATCTGGAGAGTGAACCTTGAGTCTGGGCAGACAAACGGGGACTTTGAGCTGTCATTTTGTACCCTCGATAGTTGTAGAGTCTGCGTTTGTAGAGTTAGTGCAGCGATGACCCAAAATCCGGGAAATCGGAGAGTCTGACAACTCTCCGCGTACTCTCCGATTTCCCGGAGAGTGGAGAGTAGTGCAGCGAGACCCATTCTATCTCATCCTCTCGCTACTCTATGTATAGTACGGGGGAACACCAACCAAACCTGGAACTCTCCCCAGCCCACGAGGTAGGTTTGCATCGCAGCAGTTATCTGTGATGCTTGTGCTTTTGTCAGTTGTACAACAATGGACTGTTGAAATACAGACCAGGGTTCAACTCCTGATGCAATCAATGAACTTACCATAGGCCATTCAATCTGGACGTGGAGTTTTTGAACGGAGTATGGTAAGTTGAACGTGGGTCTATATTTCAACAGTTCATGGGTGTGCCTGAGACAAGCAATAAGTGCCAAAAAAAGAAAAGAAACAAAAGACAAAAAAAAATTGTCCCGTACCTGCATCTGTATCGGGTGCTATTCCAAGCCCAGATGCAGAGGATTTCTCAACCCTGCTGCCAGCACCCACGGAGACAGGTAAGGGCCTCGCCACACCACTCTTGAAACGGGGAAATTTTTCAAGAGCTGTCAGATGTTCTCAAGAGTTGGGTTTTCAAGAGTTTCGGGCCCCTCGCCACACAGCACTCTCGAAAGGGCGATGGTGTTGGACAAACGATGAAAAACGACAGTCGTACAACTTTGTTTTCTCCGAATGGCGTCACCATAATGGCCTGACACCTCTCAAAAATCAAGGGCCCTTCGAGTGCCCTCGGGAGGACGCTTGAAAAGAGTGGTGCTGCAGGCTGGGCATTTCGGAGTTTTGAGTGCTACTCTTTTTTTTTTTTTTTTTTTTTTTCCCGAAAGGGGTGCTGATAGGAGCAGACACCATTAGTATCGTCAGGGAGGCTCCATCTATTGGTGGGGAGCAGCACCTGCTGGAAATCGGGTCCAGCGTCCCTGTATAATACAATGTCAGAAACAACGATAGTATAAGCATGTTTTGTTAGTATGCCTTATGAGCTGGGGATTTGATTGATTGTCCCAGCGCTATAGCAGTCCATTTGTTATGGATTATTCAGAGAACTATCTTTGAGTGCTACTCTTGAAACGAGGTTCCGACAACTCTCGAAAGAGTTTTCAGGCTACAACTCTCAAGTGGCTGTGTGGCGACGCGTCCAACTCTTGAAAACGCGTTTTCAAGAGTGGTGTGGCGAGGCCCTAAGTTGGTTGTCGTTTTTCCCTTCTTTTTTTTGTTGCAAGGGCAGTCAGACGCAGATGCAAGTCTGGCCAAGGAAACTGAGCTGACACTCGTTGAAACAGCCGCCTGCAGACCTTCTGTCTCCAAAAACGTGCCAGGCGCCTGTTTCAACGGGCGCTTGGCTTCTTTTTTTTTCTTTTCTTTTTTCTTGTTTTCCCAAGTTTTCCTGCCTTTGCCTCTCATACGTGCATGTTTTTCCACATGCACAGCCCAAACCACAAAGACATCTTACAGTCCGTTTTCTTTTTTCGTTGGGCCCACGGGCTTCCTACCCCTTTGCTCTTCCTGGCCTTCCCCGAGCCCTGATTTTCTCTTGTGGTGACAAGTTTGTTTTGCTGCACGGGCTGTGTACTGGTGGTTTAACTTTCACCCCAATGCACGCAGCCGTTTGGTTGAGTGTTTGCCTCCCAAGAGAGAGGTCACTGGTTCGATGCCCCGTGAGATGCTTTCCAAGCACCGCCTGCTAGAAATCGGATCCAGTGCCCGATAGAAATTAAAAAAATAGATATATAGAAAAATAAATTACAGCAAAATAAATGGTATATTCGTCTAAACGCTGTGAGCAGTTTCCGATTGGTCTGGCAGCATTGATTACCTCTGATAAAAGATGAGCTGACCCTGAGATTGTACTACTAACAACCTGAGTTTTGGAGACAGGCAATGTGATGGTCCACAGCTGTACCTCACAGAGATGCGTACCTGTGACGCTCAACCTCACGCCCTGCGCTGACTTCCGTTCGGAGTGTTTAAATTGCGGAAGGGGCCCCAGAAAGACAGCGAGATGGGGTGTGCCAAGGATTTTTGGAAAGTTGAGTGTGGGGACACGGACAGAACCGAAAGTTGAGTGAGGGTCCGTCACTGCGCGGGTTTTGAGGGAGAAAAAGGCGCGCGCGGGACGCACGGCCCGGGGGAATTCAATCCAAAAGGTATCGCTGAACTTCCCATCGAGCCATCGCTTTCCGTTTCGCATGGAAGGGGACGGGCACATACTTGGTATCCCGTTTCCGGGTCAAGTCCCAATGCCGCTCATTACACAACTCTGAATCTGACGTGGAAGGCCGTAACCGAGTGGCTCTTTCCTTGTGCTCATCTTCCTCTCGTACTCGGTAGTGAAAGCCTTTCGATTGGTAACGCTCGAAGCGGCGACAATCGTTGCACAGAGTGTTAGGCCAATGGGGCGCTACTGCCGACCACGGGATGACGATCAACTCATGAAACGGCAATAGCAACGAATAAGGCGGAAAGTGTGTGTCTACAATAACAAAACCAGCGCCAACAAATCTAGAGCATCGGGTTTCAGGAGGGAAGTAGTATCTTCCACCGATCTTGGCGACGGCTTCTCGTACGTCCCACTCGCATACACGTGTCCTCTTCTCGTTATACGGGAAGGGGCGTGGCGGGGATGCGGGAGGCCGACGCCCAGTCGGTTCGAGACAATCGGTCCACATGGCAATAGTGAAATCTTATCCAGCATGCATCTTACATATTAATCACAACGATCCTACGACTTAGTCAGAGACGTGTCCACCAGGCAATCGCCTCATCATAACATCATCCAAACATTCTCATTCATTTCTCACAGGCATTCATCGAGGAAGGTGCAAAAATGGCAGCCACACAACACCCAGTTCTCTGTGTGCTCTGCACCCCTATTTCGCGACTGATTAGGCGTTAGTCGGAACAATCATCTCATTCCTTGTGTGCAATAGATCAATAAACATCCATAATCGTGCATGCCACAGAGAGAGAAGGTAGGGAGGAAAAGACGCGGAGCAGACAAGATTACACCAAGGTCCGATGATGAAAAAGAGTTTTCGGCTTAACTGCCATCAAACTGAACTCACTCCAAGGAATAGATTTGAGACAAGGAGGTGCATCCGCCGTGAAGTTCCACTATGGTCTCGGACCACTCATCCATTTAACTCCGATCACTATCCCATGCGTGCACTGACGATCCCGGTCGTCACGTGCCACTTTCCATCACTGCGATCGTCACCCAGCCGACTTAGTCTCGACACGGCCTACCCGGATCCCACAGTCCGTCGTGGCGATCAGGCGCAACGCCGACCAGGCTACAGTCAGCACGTCAGGACTTTTCGACTCGCACTCCACACATACCATCTAGCCACTGCTTCCCGGAAGCTGGCAGACGAGTTGAGAGAGAGATTTGCGGGCGCGCTTGCATAATTTATAGTTGTAGGAAGGGAGGTAGGTACGAGGGAGGATGAAGGTTGAGTCAGGGAAGGGTGAGTGAGGACTTGGGGATAATCGCCCAACGAAAGCCATGTCGATCCTGCTGAGTCCGATCACAACCAATCAGAGTCGTCGCGTAATGAGAGTTTCTCCTTACACGACGCTTCTCCTTGGCTGGACGGAGTGAGGAGGGGATCGCCCGGGATCTTCAAGTTGGGCGTAAAACTCAGAGCGGGAGGAAGAAGGGTGCGAAGGATAGCGCGAAACGGATCCAAGATTCAGATGATCAAGAAAGAGAAAAAGCGCGCGGGGAGAGAAGGAGAGAGAGAGAGGAAAAACGGTGACGGCAGGAGAGTGAGCGCGGGCGCGAAGGGAGCGTCGAAAATGGTGAGGGGAGCAGAAAGGGGGAAGCTCGCTTGCATGGCGCCGATCACAAATGCAAAAAGAGGCACCAAAACAGTTACAGATTCCTAAGTCCTATGCTAATTCAAAAATTGAAATCACCATATCCGCGTGTAAAGTAGGCGCGGGAAAAGGCAGTCCTACATCCATTCGTATTCCACCAAATTCCCAGAGTTTTCCGCGATGTAGTCAAGAACATTTATGCAAAAAAAGAACACGTCGGGTTCCGTTTATTTCGGAATGTCTAACTGTCGGGCCAAATTCCTAGCGCGCTTACTAAAGCGCGCGCAATTCCCATGCATTTCCCAAATTATGAAAACAAAATTTCAAGAATTAACACGGGTCTCAGCAAGGCATCTTTAATCAAAAACAGAGAGGGGCCTTGTTGGGCCGAGCAAAATTCGAAAAGAAAATGAGAGAGAAGGGGTCCGGAAGATGGCGCAGGCAGGGTTGTCGAGCCCCGGCCCCGGGGCCCCGACGGGGGTCCCGGGGGCCGGGGGTCGACACCCCTGGCCTCGGCAAAAAAAAAAAAAATAAAAAAAAAATACAGGGGGGTGCGCAGCAGCAGCCTGCATCCCCTGGGCCAAACTGCAATATTGCAGTTTTGGCCCGACCTCGGGCCCCCCCCGGGGCTACACCCCCCCCAGGTGAGCCCGGGGTAGTGCGGGCGCGGGGCCGGGGGTGGGGCCCAGCGGGGTGCGGGGCCGGGGTTGGCTGGCAGCGGGGGCGGGGGTGCGGGGTTGGGGCCAGGGTTGTCACCCG